CGCCGGCGCAGCCTGGCTGCCAGTCGCCACGCAGCCAGCACCAGCGCCATGCCGATGCACGCCGCCGTCCATTCCAGGGCAGCCAGCGTGGCGTCGACCTGCTCGGCCACGCCGTGGATGTCGCTGTTGAGCGCGCCCTGCTGAAAACGGCGGGTCTCGGCCAGCACATCCAGCAGCGCCTTGCGCGCGGGGATGGTCTGCTCCACCAGGTAGTCGAAGGCTTCGTTCTGCCGCTTGGCGCGGATGAACGCCAGATTGCGTTCGGCGTGTTCCCAGAACTTCGCCAGCACCGGCGGCAGGGCAGCGTAACGTTGGCGACCCTCGTCGGTGAACAGGCCGTCTTCATACGCCTTCACCAGCGTCTGCACGCGATCGCGCAACTGGCCGATGTCCTGCAGCGTGGCCTCCAGCTCGGCCGTTGTGCGCGACAGCATCGCGTGGCGCAGTTGCAGGGACAGGCGGGTGACGTTCAGCTCGATGTCGGCGATGCGGTGCAACTGAGGCACCCGCATCTTCTCGGTGCGAAGCGTGGCGTCGACCGCCGTGCCCAGCTTCACGTGGGCAAGGCCGGCCAGGGCCAGGAGCGACAGGGCGACGAGGGCCGTCAGCAGATAGAGCCGGTGGGCGATGCTCAGTCGGCGCAGGGCGGTCATGGGGCCTCCGAAGTGCAGTGTTGACGAATGAACCTCGGCGGCATCGTCAAACAGCGCGTCTGTCACCGCCGCGTTTTGCGATGAAGCGGCCGGTATGCACCATGAAGTGGGGTGTTTACGCCCTTAAGTGGGGATGGTGGTTCGAATCGCGTGTCTCCAAGGATTTGCAGTCGGGCTGAGTCTTCGGGGCTTAGTTCACAAAGGCTGGGTTTGCGTCCAGGGAGGCGCGATCAACGCGCCCGTGTGCCGCCGAACAATTGCCTCAACGGGTCGATGTCGCCCCGTCGCTCCTGATGTTTCAGGGCCTGAACCCGTGGTGGTTTCGTCCACCGCGCCCTCGCCAGCGAAAGGTGTTGCTCCATGAAGTCTGCAATGACCGTCTCTCTCTTCCTCGCCGCTTGCGCGATGTGCACTCGCGCTGATGCAAATGGTGGAACCATTCACTTCGTCGGTGCGCTCGTCGAGCCGACGTGCAGCACCACGGTCCTGCCCCAGCAGCCGCAGCCGCGCCAACTCGCTGCGAACCTGCACAGCTGCCTCGTTCCGCGCGGTCAGGGCGCCTCGTCGGAAGCCGCTGCAGAAGGCCAAGGGGCGCAGGTCGTGGGTGCATTGCACACGGTTGCGTTGCCGGCATCGGTCGCGGCAGTGGCGGGACGCAACTCCATCGAAGCGTTGACGGTGGACTATGACTGACCACTTGGCCCCCAGGGCGCCCGCGCTCGGCGGTCAGCGCTCTGCAGGTCGTGAGTGGCTCGCCCTGTGCAGGCCCGTTCTCGCATAGCGGCAGCCCCAGCATGGCGTCCTCGAAGAGGTCTTGCGTCACAGCCTCAGTTGTAAGTCACGTCAAAGGTCAACACGCCGCGAACGCCGCCGGCCCCTGCGACGCCGCTTGAGATGTACCGGGCGTAGAAGGTCTGGGAGATCGATCCGCCGGCTTGCGGGATGGTGAAGTTCCGCTGCGCGCCATTGGCAATCGCGGTCATGTTGGCATCCAGGATCTGCACGTAGACGTTGGCGGCAGGCGTGGAGGCGCTATTGGCGACGTAGGTGTTCACCGGACCGGTCGAGAAGCTCCAGGTCTGGGTGGCGGTGAAGCCCGTGCCACTCGCCCCGCCATTGGCCGTGCAGCCTGACCAGCTGAGCGTGAACGGCGTCAGGCCGCTTGTGGCCCCAGGGCTGCTGAGCGAGCCCAGGCCCACCGTGGGCAGCGTGACCGCGACGTTCGACGTGACGAGCGTGCACGTGCTTTGGATGATCGCGGGAATCGTGCCGGTGTACGGTGCCACGAGGGCGCCCACGCCGCCGCTGCCGGGTTCGGCATCGGCCGCCTGCCAGACAACGCCACCCCACCAGGCGAACGTCGTGGAGGTGGTCAGTCGCGTGCCTGACATGACGCTGCTGCCGGAGGTGGTGCCGATCTTGATCGTTGCCGGAAAGGTGGCGGTGAAGCTGGCGTTGGAGAACGTACCCAAGCAGCTGATGTAGTACATGACCCCACCGAAGTTGCTGTTGCCGCCGGCGCACGAGTTCCCCGTGCTGAGGGCAACCGAGGCGGTCCCGGCAACGTTGATCGTCAGGCCGCTGTTGGTCGAGGTGGATGTGCTGATCGGGTTTCCGGTGGTTGTGAACGGGACCGCGAACCAGTTGTTGCCGTTGTACGAGCTGGTGCAGCCGACGCCGGTGATGATGAAGTTCCCGCTCCACACCACCGTGCCCACCGGCTGCGACATGGAGAACGAGGCCGGCAGGGCGGGTGATGTGGTCGTGGTGAGGCTGGAGCAGCTGCCTTGGGCGTGTGCGCTCAGGGGGAGGCTCAGCGCGGCCAGAAGCAGCCAGAAGCCCAGCAGGCCGGGGTTTCGGCGACGCGGCTTGTCGAGTGGCAAGCCAAGCGCGGAGCGGGTGTCCGGCCGTGAGTGCGGCGTGTTGTGGCGCGCCGGCGCGCTGGCATGCGCGGTGGACCTGGCATCGGCAGGCGTGCGAGCCTTGCGGTGCTCCGGGGTGACGAGCGCGTGCGCTGTGCAACGTGCCAGCCCGGCGAGCAGCGTGCGGCAGATCTGGTGGACTTTCATGGCGATCCCCCCGTTGAGTTTGCAAAGGCGACGCGGTCGAGCGCTGGGCTCGCGATGACCTCCGCGGCACAGAGGTTCAGCGATGGGTCGGGTATGCCACTCGGAGCGCCGCTTGATGAACGTGCGAGGCGCAGCCGACACGATTGGGTTCGGCCTGCGTCGTCGGACCAAGTCGCCTGCACGCCCTCGCGAGGGAGCTCACCCTGGGGCAGTTTCAGCACCGCTCGACCCCTGGACGCCACGACGCTGATACGCGACTCGTCGCCGGGCAGGTTCAGTTGAGCGCCGGGCGGCAGCCATCGCCCCTGGGCATCTGTCACTGTCAGCACGACGGCAGTGCTGGGCGTCGTGGCGGCGGTGTCCCCCGCGGGGGCCTGCGCGGACGGTGTTCCGCCTGCGGCGGGTAGCGGCCGGCAGACCACCGAGGCCTGAACGAGTGCGTCCTGCCCGCCCAAGGGCGGAGGAATGTCGAACCGGATCGCGCAGGAGGCGCTCGCCTCGGCGCCCCAGCTCACTTGGAGATCTCCCGACAGGCTGGGGGACGCCGCCTCGATGCGGCCCGCCTGACCCACGCTGCCGACCAGCGTTCCCTGCGCGTCATAGACGCTTGCACCAAACGGCACCGCCGAGCCATCTGCACGACGTGCGCGCAGCAGCAGGGTGTAGCCGGGCATTCGCTTGAAGTTCAACAGCACGACGGCGCCGGCATGTGGCGCGACCGTGGCACTGTTGGCGTCGAAGCGCGCACTGATGGGAGCCTTGTCGAGGTTGAGTTCCACCTGGTTGGCCGTGTACGGCGAGAGGTAGGGCAGCAGCGTGTAGCCGCTGCTGTCGAGCTCGGAGGCCTGGCTCGCCGACACACGGATGCCGGCGCCGCCTTCGACGCGCAACAGGCCGATGGTTTCGCCCAAGTAGGGAGCGAACACGACA